TAAAAAATGAATAAGAAAACATTTCTATGGTGGACTTTTATTTGGATCAATTATTGTGGAGTGGCTTTGTCCTTAAATTTATTTATTTAAGATATTTGTATGCCGTCCTTTGTGAGATCCTCAGGACGGCTTACACAAATAAAATACCTATACATAAAAGTATAACATAAATAAATTAACGACCCACTCTGGCTGCAATTAAAATATGGTAATAACATTCAATATTAAAACTTGTTAAAATATTGATTAAATAAAAAGGTCTTTAACCTTACCCATAGAAAAATGACTGTCATTTTCTAATTTGTGTGCCAAATATGATTTGCCTGCTGCAATTGCCTAATGTTGCAGTTGCAACACTGTTAGAATCAAGGTTCAGCCCTGCACTTTTTACAGCTCCACAGTCTCTTCTGTTGCTGACCGGCTTCAGTGAGTGTTTCCAGTGATATTGACCCACAATCCATGTTTATAAATATTATCAATGAATAAATGGGATACCCAGGGTCTAATGCAAGAGTGCAACAGCAACGTCCAATTCAGACCAAGCAGTGAATTGCCACTTAAGCGTCTAAGTTCAGTACATGTCAGATTACTCAGCCCAAAAAAAAAGAAAGTTTTGTTTATTGGATACTACAATGTCTTTTTAATAAGAGTTTGTCTAAGTCTAACTCTTGGAGATACAATACTGCTAAAGTTGCTTTTAATCATATGTCGCAATAATATCCAATAGTTACCTTCTTGGATCAACTTGGTATTGGGATACTTTTAAAATATTTTCTGATCCACACATTTCTTTCAGCACCAATGTGGCATAGTGAGAATTGGACTGGGGACAGGAGATCTGGGCAATATTTCCCACTTGAAGTTCACTGTGTGACTTTGGGGTACCCAGTCATTCCCTTTCAGTGTAAGTTACCTCACAAAAGTGGTTGTTGTAAGGGAAAAAATGAAGGAGAGAAGCACTATGTAAGCCATCTTGGGTTCCTTGCAAGGGGAAGAAAGGTGGCGTATATACGCAGTATAATAACAAATTACAGTATTTTCCTGTTTCTTGGACTTTAAAGCACAGCCAAGAACAGTACATTTTCTGGGCACTTTTGATAGCTAAAAGACTGACACTAAAACACTAGCAAGATTAAAACTAATTTCCTTATGCCATGGTTCAAAGTCTTATTAATGTTTTTGGTATTTGAGACCTGTTGCAAATGTATAAAAGCCTGATTGACTGATTAATAAAAGCCATAAATAAATCAATATTTGAGCAGGTGACATACATGTAGGAAAGGGTGGAAAAGGTGGAGGATACTGACAGGTATCAGATCCAGCCTTCAGACCTAGAAGACATTACTTCACCGTTGTTTTGCAAGCAAAGATCTGCTCACAGCTTTGTTTTCACTTGACAGCTCACCATTTGACAGCTGCCCAGTGAAAGCAAACTAATGTAATTGAATACTGTGCTGATATATGTGGATGGTACCTGCTTTGACAGCAAGCATTTCCCAGGGCATTGACCAGATGAAACTTAAAATTTCAGGTTCTCAGAGTTGCACATTGGCTGTCGAAATTAGTCCCATGAACAACCCACACAATATCCCCTGTTTGCAGGGTGAGTTGCTGTGCTGTGCAATCTCACCCTTGATCTCTGGGAAAAAACCCTTTGTCTCTTGGTACAGCCTTATTCCGCACTGCCTCTGGTCTGACCTACATTCCTCTAACCATCTGAGTCTTACCCAAATGTTCTGTGAAATGCAAATATTCTACTTCGCTTTGAATATAAAGAATAAAAATAGATCTCCAAGCACAGTTTGCATAGCTTGGGAGGCTGCTTAACATCATGTCTGAGCTGAGGGAGGTTGTCTTGATTGTGGGGTTGAGGAGCCTAAGGATGCTGGTCTTGTGGAGGCTTCAATGTTCATGTTAGGTCACCTTGCCTAGAGCAGCTGGGCTTTCATGGCCTCCACGGCCCTGTCTCAAAGTAGTGTATGTTTGATTGAATATATGTGGCAGGGCTTGGACTCTGTTTGCTATATTCAGATAGGGGGGTAATGTCCTGTAGGTGCGGAGCCACTCAATCGTCACAGACAGATTACCTGAGCAAGCTGGACCATCAGGCTACTATAGGAGTGGAGTACTGCTTTCCTGGTCCAATCCCAGGGCCTGATGAATATGGGTGGTCTTAAGGGTCTTTATGGGGATTTCCTATAGGTTTCACTGGAGGTCCAGCTGAGGTCTTGAGTTCTCAGGAAATGTCTTGGACCATCTGTATGATTGCTTTCAAACATCCTTGACTTAATGACAGAGTTGTATCGGCTCCTTGGAATGCATGGGTTACATATCAGCATAAATGATGAGGCTCATGTCTGTTTTATTGATTTATTACTTTTATATCCTGCCCTTTTTTCTGCCAGGATCTGTTATCCCCCATGCTTTTTAATATTTGCATGAAACCTCTGGGAGAGGTTATCCAGAGGTACAGGCAGAGGTGTCATCAATATGCAGATGACACTCAGCTCTGCCTGTTTCCTCATCAAACCCAGCTGAGGCAGTGGCTATTCTAAATCATTGCATGAGTTCAGTAATCGATTGGTTGAAGGCCAATAAATAAAAACTCAGTGCAGACAAGAACAGAGGTTCTGTTGCTGGGTGGATCCTTTGTCCTGTTAGGAAACCTTCAACTTGTCCCAGATGGGGTTGCACTCCCCCTAAAGGACAAGGTTCATAGTTTGGGGGCGCTCCTAGACCCAGAACTGTCACTGAAGTCGCAATGGACTCAGTGGCATGGGGCACCTTTTATTCGCTTAGACTTACCAACTATGCCCCTATATGGACAGGCGGTTATCATGCCCTGTTGGAGTACTGGAACACACTCTACGTGGGGCTGCCTTTGGAAATGGTCCAGAAACTGCACCTTATTCAGAATAGGGCAGCATGGCTTTTAATGGGGACTGGTCCACAGGATCACATCAGGCCAGTCCTCTATCAGCTGCATTGGCTGCCAGTTGAAGTCTGGCCCCAATTGAGAGTGTTCTAACATTTAAAGCCATAAATGGCTTTGGGCCAGCCTAACTGAAAGAATGTCTTATTCCATTATATTCCTACTGAACCCTTAAGAATGTCTGTCAAGGTCATTCTCAGGGACTGCATCCCCAAAGATGTAAGGGGGCTGAAAACCAGGAGAAGGGCCTTCCCAGTAGTGGCACGCAGTCTCTGGAACTTGCTCCCCAGAGGAGTGTGCCTGGTACCATCCATTACATTTCAGCACCAGATGATAACCTCTGTATTTTCTAAATATTTGAATAGTTAAGTCAGAATGTCTTATTGCTGAAGCAGCTTAAATATTATTTATAAATTGCTGTTGTATCTGGTTGTTTGTCCTTGATTGTTGATTATGTTGTTTTTACAGTATTTTAGTATACTGTACTATTTTTGTGAGTATTTTAAAACTTGTTTTTATGATTTTAATATTTGCAAACTTTCCAGAGAGCCCTGTGGACTGTGGGGCAATAAATAAACAAACTATAACAGTTTACATAAGCCTCCTCTTCCTCTTCTCCATTTTATCCTCACAACAACAACTCTGTGACTCGTGCTGAGAGTCCATGGCTGGCCCAAAGTCACCCAGAGAACTTCATGGCTGAGTAGGGACTACAACCTGCATCTCCTGAGTCCCAGTCCAACACTTAAGCCAGTGTAAAGAAACAGGCTGGATTGAGATCCTTTTGCTGGACATGAGACTTCTGGCACGTTTGGTTATGGCTGCATATTTGGGGAATTGAATCATGACCAAAATGCAGAATTCTGTCAATGCAGGCCTTCAAATGTGCACTAAAAGACCAGTTTGTTTCACTTCATTTTCCCTCTCTCTCTTTAACATTTATATCCTGCCCATTTTTTCCTGCAAGGAAGCCAAGCTGGCTCACATGCTCTTCCTTTCCATTTTATCCTCACAACAACCCTGTGAGGTAGGTTAGGCTAAGAGTCAGTGACTGGCCCAGAGTCACCCAGTGAACTTCAAGGCCAAGTGTGGACTAGAACTGAGATCACCTGAATCCCAGGCCAGCATTCTACCTGCTACGACACTTATAAAAATATTGGCTGCTGCCTTGTTGAATTGGTTTTGATTGACTGAGTTCGCAAGGCAAGGCAAGGCAAGGCAAGGCAAGGCAAGGCATGTCATGTCATGTCATGTCATGTCATGTCATGTGAACCTAGGACAGGTTTGTCAGCATTACATATTTTGGGCTTATAGGCCATTCTGGCAACCCATAACTTGGTTGTTTTACTTACAATTATGCCTGGTAACAGCAAGGCCTTCAGTAAATAATGATAAAGAGGTGCTAAAGTTGCAAGTTAGTTTCTCTACTGTTCTAAGAGTACAATCCTGTGCAAGTTTAGACAGAGAAATCCTACAACTCCTGACTATCTGGGGAATGCTTGAAGTTGTATGATTGTATTTATTATTTATTTATTAAAACATTTTTATGCCGCCCCATTCGCCGAAGCCTTGGGGCGGCTCACATCAATTGTAGGTTTGCACCCTATCTGAATCCTAAGGAGGAACGTGTAGATTCTAATCCCGATTAGAGATTGTATGAACTAGGATGAAGAAGCTTCAGAATAACTAACATGGAACATAAAGAATAAGCTTTTCTACAGGTGGCTTTAATATGCTGTGTGCTTCCTTTGGTAAAGAATAAACCTGGTCCTTGTTATGCTGCACTCATGAGACTAGCTAAACTTCCCATTTTTCTTCCTCCTTGTTCATTAAAGAGGGGACTAGTATGTAGATACTGGGCAGCATTGCCAATTACCCTGAGAAGTAGGAGAATCTTTAGAAATGGTTTCTCTTAAATGCTTATCTCCTCTTAAACATCACTGGGCTTCTAGTGCACTGTCATTTCCTCTGCTGACCAGAAAGGGCAAGATGTAAACTATTTCAGTTTTGTGTGTGGCATAACTTTGCTAATCAAAGCCTCCTAACCAAGGTGGTTGTTCTTCCTTAGGTTTCAGTGCCAAGTGCTTAAAGAGGAAAAATGAGACGGTTTTTAAGGCCTGGACACGACCCAGTTCGAGAGAGGCTCAAGCGAGACCTTTTCCAGTTCAACAAGGTATGTAGCCAAAGAAGAAATGTGCACAGAACTTGTCAAGATTAGCCTGTTCAAGCAGACTCGAAGGATGGAAGCCACGGGAACACTTGCCACTGAAGGGGACGATTGCGTTCAGCACTGGCAATCTACCTTGGCCTTTGAGTTGGTGTAGGATATGCCACTGAACAAATATTTGGGAAACTAGAGCTGTGTTTTCCCAGCCCCAACGTATTCTTTATGTATGTGTGTGCCTTACGCTAGCAAGCTGTTTCCTGAGTTCCAGATGGACATTCAGATCTCTTAAGCTTCATTTATTTTCTCAGGCAGATTGCCTTTATCTCTTGCTTGGCAATATTTTCCCTTTGAGGAGGCACATGCAAACTGTTTTGGTTTGGTTATAATACTGCTATTAAAACAAACAGGTAAGGGACAATGTACAACTCCCAGGCTTACACATATCCCCCGCAATTGGGTGTGGGAGTATTCGACTGTACTTCTGAAAAGTCTATGTGATATTAATGACTGTAGCAAAAGCTAGAAGGGTGATGTCGTGCTTTTTTCTTGGTATAGTGTGCCTGCTCTGAGCCATCATGCAATTGCTAAATCACACTACCTATGAATGGATCTCTGCTAAATGAGAAATCCATATATTCCCTATGAACAGCTTCCTCTAATTTCACACCGTAACAGTCCTGTTGGCTGCTTTGAAATAGTTAAATAAACATACATCGTTTGTCTGGTGCACACCGTGTCCTGCAAATTGTTAACTGTTTTGTTGGTAATTTATTGGTTGGTAATTTGTTGGTTAACTGTTTTGTTGGTAACTATCTTGGCAATCATGAACAGAAGTCATGAACAAGTGATGACAGGAACTGAAGCAAGGTTTGATTGCCATCTTCAAGCATGGCCACTCCTAGCTGGAATATTCTAAGCTTACTCTGAGTGTAATTGCTTGAAGATATGATGGAGGAGAATGTATCTTAGAAAGGCTAGAGAGCACTTGGTGGTTTGATTGCTTTTCCAGGTTGCTTTCCTCCCACAGGTCTTGTGTTGCCACATGCACTTGTTCTGAAAGGTCTTTGTGTAAAGAGCAAAATCACTCCAGGCCTTTCTGGAGTTGAAGCTTCCTTACTTGGCTTTAAGAAATTTGGTCTTGAAAGCAGTGACTTGAGATCTCCAGTCTTTTTTCCATGGTTATGCTGAGTCACAGTAGACTGAATAACTGCAAGTTGAATCGCACCCATGGACCCACCTGGCTTGCTCACCTAGGAAGTTTCGGGCTCTGCACCACTGCCAGAACTGGCAAATTGACACCTGAAGCTGTGTCAGCTTGTGTTGAGACTGCTGCTCACATGTCTGCTTTACTTGCTAGATTGTGAACCAGGAATGTAAAGGTGTGTGTGTGTAAATACCCCGTTTTGTATTGCTTAACATTTTTATATAAAGAGTAATTTCAGGTGTACTACTTTCAGTTTGTTCAGTGCAGATACGATTTTAGCCATGTTGTGCATGTTCCCCCAAAGCAACAGGATTTGGTGGGCACTGATGGTGGTGATGGGAGAATTGGATTTAAAAAGCAGACACAATTTTATTGTTTGTTTATTTATTCAATGTATATGCTGCCCCACTAGCTATAAGATTAAATTTATAAACAGCATAATGAACAGTGCAGTACACATTACAAGTCACAATTACAAAAGTGAATAACAAAAATCCATAAATAAGCTATCAAAATGAAATTAAGCAAAATAAAACAAGAGAAGAATAATAAAACAAATAAATATATATTATAGAAAGCTCCAAAAGTAAAACATGGACCGATTAAAGTTTAATTTGTATCAATTTCTAGCATTTTAATGGCAGCAGCATTTAATAATCTAAAATCTTAAACATCATTAAAACCAACAGTTCACCTATTAAAATAACAATGGAAACAATGGAACAGATACATCTTAAGTCGGCATCTAAAAGTCAGAAGAGCAGGCGCCAACTGGACCTCCAGTGGAATCAAATGCTATAACTTGAAAAGGTGCCCCTCCTTGAGGAATATGGAGGCAGGCTTCAGAGGCCGGCACATATGCAGACAAGCCTGCTCTCAGATCACCTATTCAACAACCATTTAGACTTCATATGTTATTCTGAGCACTATGAATTGGTAATCCTTGCCATAGGTGCACAACTGAACATCCCTAGCCCTCTACATTGTGAGTTTTCTTTACATTCCACGCATGATAGGAGGACAGGCGCCATTTGTAATGTTAATGTCACTGACCTGAAATAGATGTTCTGGAAGATCAGTTCCAAGGTAAGCCCGAATACTTTGCAATGCTAGAATGCTTTGCATGTTTAACAATTTACTTGGCCTCATATTTCTTCAAATTGGGCTCCAATCTTCATAATCAACCGTGTTCCATAAAAAGAACACATTCTCTTAGTTTTGTTTGCTCAGTGGAATGTTTTCTTTTCCCTGACGAAGAATCCTTTTAAGTGGCATCAAACACAGTCAAATTTAATTGACATTTCCACTGGAAAATTCCAGAAAGTACAATTTAGAATATATGAAACTGCGTGTTCAGATTTACAGGTGATGGAGAAGTCCTGTAATTGCTAAGGGGTGCATTCAGCATCATAATATGGAGAGATGAACTAGCACAACTTATTAGTATATCAGGGACTTAAACCTTTTTAATTATGAAAAACTACTTCATGTCCAACATCTAGTAAGGCTTCCTGTGTGTGCATGCCCTGGAAGCTTCTGGTCTTTACTCATTCTATTTTTATTACAATAGGGCGTTTCAGAATGGGTAATTATGTTTCGGGACGAAGGTACCAGACTGAACAAAAAGGTTTTGAGAAAGTAGAATGTGATTGAACATCAGATGTGTGATGTCAAGGGAAGCCAAGAAATCTGGCTGTTTTCCATTGTCTGTGAGCTCTGTCTGTCAAATTCATGGGGCAGAACTGAGCCTGGACAGCTCCTAAGAGAGTGTCCTTGATTTTCCTGTAATGTGGGGCTTGGCAGTTTTTTTTCTGTGGCGGGAACATAGTCCTCAACAGAATCTTGGCAGGGAGCTAGACGGTGGTGTGTGGGGCTGAAGCCATTGGTGACCAAGACCAGGACCAAACATAGGTGGGCCACCCCCTTTTCTCTTTCCCTCTTCTTTTCCATGCAGCAGGTTCTTAAGGAAAGAATAAATCACTGTTGCCACAGGTCCAAATTGATCATAGGCAAAGGGCTTTTGCAATTAGGCTGAAAACAACAGGTTGCCCACACTGTTATCACTGGGCAAGAATGTGACTAATCCATGATTCGGGGCTGCTTGCTCATTACTAGCTTGTGCCCCTCTTCAGAATGAGTTCAGGAATGCATCCAAGTGCTTAAAACTGGACCCCAAACTTGGAATTACCTATCTGGCCCAATGAAAAGTTATTTACCTAATGAGAAGTTATTGGAGTGATTGGTATAGCATAACTTTAGTTGTATAAATCAAAACTGTCTGAATCCCACAAATGACTGAGGCTTGAACCCTTAACTTGGTGGACAGGTGAGAGAGCAAATATGCATCAGGAGGAGGAAGGAACATGCCCATCTTCTTCTTGCTCCTGCTCTACCCACACCCAATCATGGAAAGGCCCAGGTGCTTTCCTGTGCTCATGACAAGAGCCCAGGTAGGACACAAGATAAGAGCATCGCAAAGGCCAAGAGTCAAATAGGCAAGCAAATTAAGACTCTATTTCCCAAATAGTATTTTAATACAAAGTTGATTCCGAATGAACCACCCCTCCTCCCTTTCTGACCAAAAGGTGTGGCTCCACCTGGATGATGCTTATGGGCCAATCTCTGCGAATGTCTGATGCTACTAAATTGGTCTGCTCCGTCTATCTGATACTGGACAATTGGACTAATAATGTTAATTTCGCTTCCATTCAACGTAGCATCCTCCGTGGTTTCCTACCAAAATGGAATTTCCCTGGCCTCTCCCTGGTTTTTCTATGGGGCTTCTGGCCTTGGCATTTTAGCTGAGAATTCTAGGCCTACTTCTTTATCCAGTCCTGAATTCAGAATCTGAAGCAAGACCTTTAGAAGACTCTATTTTAGGAGATGTGAGCTTGGTTCCCACTGGTAGCAGAGATATTTAGTTAACCCTAGGATGTGTGCCTTGATTATACAAATCTGAAGAATTGGGGTATTTGTTTTTGGACTTTTTGTATTTGGGGTTGTTGCCTTTTAGGAAGCATGACTAGTACACAGGACATTTTCCCAAGAAGTAGTACCCTATGTTACAGCTTGCTCAAGGCATGCACTTCCCCTGACCCCCATGCAAGGCTCTTCAGCCTGAAGCATAGTAATTTGCCATCCCAAACTGGCAGGATTCTCTGCCTGTTCTTCACCCACAATAGCAGCCACCAAGATTAGGACATTTCTAAGCCAGATTGTGACCTCACTGACTTGCTTTGCGGAAAGAACATCGGTATCATTTATAGCCACCAACTGAATGGATGGTCTCGTAGCAGCCCAAGCCTGTGCAAGTTTTGAGGTTTACTAAGAAGGCTGTATGGAATCTCAGTTACTGTGGAAGTTGTGAATTTGCCAGTTCCTTACTGCATCTTCCAAAGCAGCTGAACAGAAAGATCTTGTGAACTGGGATAACGCTGCAGCATGTTAAGAAGAATAGTGTATAGCTATGTGAATCTTCTCGGGGAGCGGGGGCTTTGTGTGTGCAAAAACTCTGTACATGATTGAATGGCAAAGAGTCAACCTATTAGGTTCACTGTTGGTTTCTAAAAACAGTGTATGAGCTGCCACATGTCAATAGAACTGGATGGACAACCAAACTTCCAGGCTGCAAAAGAATTAGGGGAGTCATTTTTAAAGTTTGATTGGCTTTTAAAGTAGATTTATATTCCTCCTTTTGATTAGAGCTATAAAGCTGCTTACAACACTTATAAATATACAACAGATACACCGAAGACACACATTTAGAACAAAACCTGAAACTACCACCTCTGCTAAGTTAAGA